AGCAGCTTACACAGGAGCGTGCCCACTCCCTCACGTCTTTATTCATGCCACGCCAGAAAAACAGTTCTGCTATAAGCTTGATGGTTGCACAAACACCTGGATGAGAAAGTTTGTGCGAAATATTGGAGGTGTTGCGTCGATAACGTTTTGGCATGATTGGGCGACCCCTACCTGTCGATGTGTCACAAAGTAAGGTTTCCTTACCTGTTCTCATCTGTTTGGTACGAAACTTGGGGGTTGTAGACGAGAACTCGTGCTGAAGATCAGTGTCTTCTTTTTGAAGCTGGGAGAGTTTAAGAAGGTCGATTCCTTGAAAACTGTTCAAGGAAGTTATGCGAGACAAAGCGTCTGCGACTACATTGTTTGCTCCAGAGATGTGTTGAATATCTGAAGTAAACTGCGAAATGTATTTCAGTTGTCGAGACTCACGAGGTGAGTTTTTGTCTGAAGAGGAGCTTAACGAGAAAGTAAGAGGTTTATAGTCAGTGAAAAGGGTGAATTCACGGCCTTCGATATAATGTTGAAAATGCCGTGCAGCACAATACATAGTTAGGAGTTCCCTACCGAATGTGCTGTACCTCAATTCGGTGTCTAGCAATCGTCTGGAGAACAATGCTAAAGATTGTAAGACTTCATCGATTGTCGATTGGGATGCGTCTACTGCGGTGCTAATGGGTGCTTGAGTGTCCTGATGTGAAAGCATTGTTGCTTTGCGATAAGTTCCTTAATTGTGGGGAATGCTTTTCGTGCGGTGTCGTCCAAATGAATGGATTTTGCATTTCCACGAAGTTGGTCAGTAAGAGGTTTCATGAGTAATGCGCATTTAGGTACGAATCGTCTATAGAAACTTGCAAGGCCGTTAAACGTTCGTAGTTGCTTGATCGTGGTCGGTTCTGGGTAATCCAGAATTGCCGCCACTTTGGTCCTAAGGGGTCGGATGCCTTGAGCATCTATAGTGTGTCCTAGGAAGTCTAATGAGTCGGTCCCGATTTGGCATTTCTGAACGTTTACAGTAATGCCATGTTTTTGTAGTCGGTCGAAAAGACGATCCAGATGCTTGAGATGTGATTCTCTTTCCGGACTTGCGATTAGGCAGTCGTCAACATACGCATGTACGAAGTTGAGACCTCGAAAAACGTCGTCTATGAACCTTTGGAATGTTTGAGCAGTGTTTCTTAAACTGAAAGGCACTCGCAAAAATTCATAGAGTCCAAAGGGAGTAATGATGGCGGTTTTTGGAATGTCGCCTGTGGCCATGGGGATTTGGTTATACGCTTTAACCAAGTCGATTTTCGAAAAGACAGTTGTACCTTTCAGGGTAGCTGTCAAATCGTGAATGTGGGGCAACGGGTAACGATCGGGAATGGTTTTCGCATTCAATCGATGATAGTCACCAGTTGGATGCCAATCGTTGCTGTCATTTTTAGGGACCATGTGCAACGGAGATGCATATGGATTATCGGTCCGATATTGTCGGGCCAGAAGGGCATGAGTTGGAACGAGGGTGGAGACATAGTCTTAATCTTAAATACCCTGGGGGTCTGTTCAGTCATAGGGGAAAATTGAGTACGAGAATACACGAGTGAAAAAGATATAGATGTCCCAAAACGCGGGAAAAAATATCACAATGTATAAAAATTAAAATAAAGCAATGATATATAGAATCCCAAAGTGGAACAGATTCACAGTTTACGATTTGGTGTACCAGATCACGTTAGGCTCACCAATGAAGATGGCACAGGTATTCAGTGTTTGGGGGTTTATTTACCGCTACAGGATGATTCGGGGTCTTGTGCGTATCTAGTTGCTTCTATAACATGTTGCACTAGGGCACATATGATAACCGTATCGATTAGTTCCTGTTCGAAGGGATTTTCTGACGGCCCTCAGACTTTTTCAGTCTGCCCTATGTGTATTAAAGTTTTCTAGGATTAAACATCGACCACTTTTTGACTAAGGATTGAGACTGTCACGTCTCACTCTCATAGGTAACGTTATCAATAACGGTTAACGGGATAGTATTTCTGACAAATAAAGCTACTCCTCCTTTGCGTTTCTGGACTATATCGGCCCTTCAATCATAAACCCTTGAAAATCAAGTCCCATACTGTCTATAGACTGCTTCAACTAAGTTTCTGTGACTTTGATTGCAACCGTATTGATAGAGTTTATCTATACACTTAGCTCCAATCGGTTGTTAAGCCGGATTCCGACATTTTTATAACAGATCCGAAGTCTATTTAAATGACTTCGTGCTGCGCCCAGAGTGGCTTCGGCATCGCTATCTGTTGAAGCCTCACCACCCGAAAATCTGCATTTTGAGGTCCTTTTTGCAAGCATCTAACCTAAGTTGTAGTTCTTTTTCAGCTGCTCGTCTTTTTATACGGTTTGCAAATGGCAACTATTTACGGACGAAAACTTCTGAACCATTTAGTTCATGTCTATTCTGTAGCATTCCGTCCCTTTTAACGGGGGATTTAAATAATATCTTTAGCAGCCTGTGTTGATTTTGTTTCAAGTCTGCTTGGCTACCTAGTTTATAAAACTTTAGCATGATGACTCCAGAGGTATCTTGAGGCATTAACTGGTTTAGTGGCTATTTCGTCAACTCACTGTCATGCTCAAAACCAGCTTTAGGCTCTGTGCTTTCACTCTCCTTGTCTCTATGATCAGTCTTCCATTTTTTAGCTGCTTTTGGGTGGACTGTCTTTTCATTGGTAACCTTATGTCATTTCGTATTCTCGATCTTTACCCATTCATCGTCTATCGTTGGAGTAACAATCACAGTCACGTTACACACTGTGAGATCCTGGATGCTTGTCGATGACTTGAGTAGTCAGATATTTGTTTATCCTGCCAGAAACAGACCTAGTATTACGATGAGGTTTTTTAGACGTTCCCTGCTGACTGCCATTTGGAGGGCGGGGGACAGGATAAACTTCCTTTCTTGAGCTTTATTTCGGACAGACCTCTTTTAAGTCAGTCATTCCCCCTTAGCAGCGTTCATCATTGCAATGGCTTTGGGCAACAAGCTCTTTGCGTCCGAGCGGCACTGCTGACACAACCACACACAAATATGTTTACTAAACCGTTTAGAAGCAACAGGCGTTAGGTTCGTGTGAACTTCATGGTACCATCCTCTGCACTCACCTCACTGCATGACACTTTCCACAGGGTATCAGGAGCCTCGGAGATGGCAACTACCTTTTGCGCTGTCCAGCAATCAATCAGAGGTTTTCTAAAGAAACCCATAGGCAAGAGAAACTGACAAACACAAAAAGTGGAAAACTGCAAAATGTTAGAACCGAAGTACAAACAAATACAAAGAACCAATGCACTTAAAGTTAACGATGACAAACTACTTTGGAAAAAAGACCCTTCTGGAGAATACTTTAAATTAAATAAAGTCGGTTGAAGGGAAAAAAAAGTAGTTTTGATGCGTAGTTTACTTTCAAAACGATAAAATTAACTCATCAAGAAAAATGCCACTGCCAGAACACGTAATATCAACAAATTCTACTGACACATCCAAAGCGAGACTGACTCTTGGTTGTACGACGAATTTCAAGGATTAACATTGGTCGTTTGACCCCTATCCCACTACTAAAGTGTGAAGACTTTTGCTGTTTAAGGTCTCTGTACAATTTAAATACAAAGCTTAACTTAATATCACCTGCGAACTTCTACTTGTGTCCATAAAATTATATTTGCCTAGAGCTTGTCTGTTAATTCCTCTTCTATGCAACGGAGGCAGGCTATGTTTGTTTTTTAGGGTCAAAGTGGGACCTTGAACAAATGTTGATCGGTTCGAACCGGAAGTTCTTGGCGTGATTTCGGCATATGTAGTATTTTGGGTAAGCAGGGTCGGATAGTTATTAGGTATCTAGAATTCCATCTAGTATAGTGATTAGCATGGCTCTTGTGAAAAATTTTCACTCTGGCACAGTAGAAATTGCAAGGATATCATAGGTGACTGATTAATTCAAATGTTATGATCTGTGGGTGTGCATATAGAGATTAAACCACTAAATAACGTGGCAGATGATAGGCTCAACGGTCCTTGTTCTGTCGAAAAGTTCTGGAGTTTTTTACGAAAATAAATTCGGGAATTGTGCGTGCTGTTGTATCTTTTGAACCGTTTTAAATAATCTAAAGCCGGACAACATTTAGGGAATTGAGCACAAGTTTTATTTACAGTTAACATTGCTGTAGCCACAGAATGCTTGTTATAATTTATCATATGTTAAATAAACAAGGTATGGGAGTACGACTTCTATGCCTATCCTCTTTCTGAACACTGCCAACGTGTGAACATCGTTTCTGACAAGTCTAACAACTTCCGGCCCGCAGTTACTCGGCCAGAGTACTAGCTAACTTCGGCATACGACTCGGAGTTCTCACCTGTGGTTGAGATAGTAGCCTATCCTTTTCTCAGCTTTTCTGATTGTTCGCTTGCTAGTTGTGTTTGTATACATTAGTATTTTGTACAATAGACTAGGTGGTGTCAAGTACTCTGTGTACATACTGACAGATGTATTTGCTTGTTTTTACTGGAATCTGCTGTTCAATCCTACTCCAACAACTAGTGTTTGGTTCTCGAAGAGCTTATAATCTGTAGGAATTGTGACTTAACCTTGAAAACTGGATATACATTGTCTCAAACATGTTCAGTCAAACCTGGATTATCAATACCCATACTCAATCCTTTTAGGTAAAACCTGGTCCCCGCTTGATTTCGACTGGCCCTTACTAAAGAGATTCTGTTTACGACCGCTCATGTTCTCTGTTTGGGGTGGGGCGACTTTCTAATTACTTCAGGTCGCTTGTTATTTTTACGCTCGTAGTTCATTCATAGTTCTTATTAGTGTTCTTACTTTTGAAAATGTTTTTTTCTACAGATTCCTGCTGCTTTCGTCTGAAAGTTTTCCTGGATTCTGTTCATTACTTTTGACCAGTTGACAAATTCATCTAGCTCTAGTAACGTTTTCGTAAACCTTGTCATGCACAATGAACGTCGCAGTTTTAGATCAAATCTGGATTCTAATATAGCAGATACTATTCGAGTAGTAGCCTGCAAACAAAATCAAGACTTACGAATTACTTTCGCTAATGATTATGCGTGTTCAGACAGACCAAGACCTACCGGTAACAAAGTGGCATATTCTGCTTCAGGCTCAGGATTAAGAGAAACTAGTGGTCACAAAATGCATCGTCAGGCAGTTACTTCAGCCCACAAGTGAGATGTCTCTTCTTTTAGAATGATTTATTATTTCATTACAAGTTACTTGCTTTCAACATTGTATTTACTGGTAGGTTTTTGTAGGTGAATCGTAGCCTCTATACTGAATTGACATGAAACGTCACAAATATGTGATTGTTTCTACTAATTCACTTATGCAAAAACATCATTGAGCTAGAACACTTGTAGTTATGTTGTTAATTGTGGTTTTAAGCGAATTTCCGGCGCTTTAACCGGATCCCAAACCAATGGTGCACATGGGCTCCAGTATCCTGCGGGAACAAATGGCGTATGAACCAATCGTTGGTAACCGGCTACCATGGGATTGCATCTCCTTACGATGCTCCACTGCCTTGTGGGTTAGACCTTTAGGTCAAAGGCTCGGGTGTGGCCCCCTAAGATAACCACCTGCTTCGGTCTGGGCACCCGGGCAGTATCACAGTCCACACGCAAATGATGAACTCTCTATATCTATGGAAACTACTTTTCTCGCTTCGAAAAACGATCAAATGATTCAAATTATTATCATTACTATTATTGTCATTATTATTATTATTATTATTATTATTATTATTATTATTATTATTATCCACATTATTCACCCTCTTTTATACTTTATAGCGGCTTGTCTTTGGTGGAAATTCGACTGTATCTAAACGTTCTCGAGTCACTGTCCGGTTGAAAATTGTATGTTTCCACTGAATATGAGTACCGAAGCAGTTTTTCTGTAACCACGTGCGCCATTCAAACTCAGTCAGTCAGTGACAACGTACAACTTCGTACATACGTACATCAGTTCGAGTTGCCACACCACATTAGCATAGAGATGCAGCGGTCGATTCAAATCCCGTAGTGGTAGAGGTAATAAGAGTATAAGCAGTAATCGGGAAGATTCGGGTTTGGAGATGTTATTTAAAGAGTATAATCCAGTGAAATAAATTTGGAAAGAGGAAAAAAGGGACATGAAGAATTCAGAAGATTAGAATTTGGGAGAACACAGAGAGTGTATGCACCTGCGCCATTGCAAACGATTTTGAGCCATGTCATTCAGGGTCTCTAACCATCGGTTGCTATCATCTCGCGGTCCCCAACCATGTAGTCTACACCTACCAACATGACTCAGTCCACTTGTCAGTGACTTCATGGACTTGTGCCATGTTTTGGTCTGGCCGCCTCTTGCTTTCTTCCAACCTACTCCTATACCACTGAACATCGCACATCGAGACAGTCGGTCGTTGGGCTTACGTAACACGTATCCCAGCCATCTCAACTGACGAAGTTTCACTACGTCATCAATTGATTTGCCATCCTTACCTAGTACCCGTTTCCTAACAACTGCATTACTTACTCGATGGTCCCAGGATATACGAGCAATATTTCGAAGACACCTATGATCAAATACTAGTAACCTACGAATATCCTCTACTCTTACCGGCCATGTTTCACTGCCATAAAGTAGGACGGGACGAACTGCTGCGCAGTAAACCCGTCCTTTGGTTGATAGACGGATATCTCGCCTACGCCATAAATGACGCAAGTTGGCAAAAGCTAGTCGAGCCTTCTGTATCCGTGCTGAGATTTCGTCACACACCGGACCACAAGGGCTGATGAGACTTCCAAGATAAATGAAGCGGTCGACACGCTCAATTACTTCACTCCCTATTATTAGTTCGGGTGTCGATGCTATCCAATCCTGAAGCAACATTTTGCATTTCGAGGGGAAGAATCGCATCCCGAACATGCTTGCATTGTTGCTTAGAGTGGTCAGAAGACTGCATTTTGTCAGCGTCTTCGCCAAATAAAACTGTCATCAGCATATTCTAAGTCAAAAAGTGAACATCCCGGTAGAAGTTCAACCCCTGGAAATTTAGATGAGGAGAGTGTTATCTCTAAAAGTACATCGATCACAAAGTCGAACAAGAATGGCTGCCTTCAATGTTCGCACACTTATGCAGGTTGGACAACAGATAGGGCTGGCTATGTCTTTGGAAAGTCTTGATATCGATGTCTGCTGTCCATCCGAGACCCGTATTCAAGACTCTGGTGAAGTACTACAAATCCGCTCTCCATCTGTCACTTCGAAAAGCTTGTTTTACGTGCGCTTATCCGGGGACCCTGTGGCATCTTCGTTTGGTCTTGCTAGCGTTGGTGTCGCACTAAGCGCTAGAGCTGAGGCACCACTAATCGATTGGATCCCCATTAACAGTCGGTTATGTGCTGTTAGATTAGAAAGTTCCATCAAAGTGAGAAGAAATCGGCGTGAGAAACGATGTCTTTTCGTCATCTCCGCCTATGCCCCGACAGATTGCAGCTCGGATGCAATCAAGGATGAGTTTTACCACCAGTTGTCTGTTCTCCAGAAAGTGCGTTATTGTGCGATATTGTAGTAATAGCCGGAGACTTGAATGTTCAGGTCAGGCGTCTAGGCACAGAAGAGAGTCGTTTAGGTGGCCGATGGGGACTCGTTAGTCGCAGGTCAGATAACGGGGACCGTCTACTGCAACTATGCACAGACCACAACCTGTTTCTGGCTAGCATTAACTTTCGGCACAGTCATTGCCGATGTGCCACCTGGCGTCCTCCCTCTGCATCCCAAGCCTGGACTCAGATTGATCACATCGCGATCAGCTACCGCTGGCATGGTTGTGTGCAAGACTGCCGCTCCTTTTGGAGTACCTATCTGGACTCTGATCATGCCATGGTCTTTGCTAATCTTACCTTACTTTTCAGTGGCCAACGAAGCGACCGTCACCAACGGATTGATGTTAGCAAGCTGGTTGCAACTTCTACTTCCGATTGCGTCCAAGCTATTGGCTCCCGTCATACTTTGTAGACTGTTCAAAACCCGAAAAAGATTGACTCGCGAGGAGCAGGCTGGGTTTCGTTCTGTTCGAGGATGCATTGATCATATCTTCACCCTCCACCAAATGTTAGAACACCGTCATAGTTATCAAAGGCCAACAATCGTAGTGTTTCTTGACATCAGGGCTGCCTTCGATTCGTTGGATAGGACTGTTCTCTGGGATTGTCTATTGAAGAAGGGTGTGCCTAAGAAGTTTATTAACATCCTAAAAGCCCTATACACAAACACCTCAGGTAGAGTGAGGGCATACAACCACCTCTCTCCATTGTTCTATTCGAGCAGTGGGGTTAGACAGGGTTGCCCAATCTCACCATTCCTCTTCAACTTTGCCATCGATGACATTCTGGAAACAGCTGTGATGCATGTAAGTAGTGGCGGTGTAGATCTGTTGCCTGGAGAAAGACTTCTCGACCTTGAGTATGCGGATGATATTTTCTTACTGTGCGATAATGCCCAAGCCATGTAATCCGCACTTAATCAGTCGGCAATCAGTGTCCGTAGGTATGGTATGTGCTTTGCACCTTCGAAGTGCAAAGTACTTCTACAAGACTGGCAGGATTCTAATCCTGTACTCACCCTGGATGGTGAGCAGATAGACGTAGTCGAGAAGTTCGTGTATCTGGGTAGCTGCGTAAGTGCTGGTGGGGGTGTGAGTGATGAGATCAGTGCACGTATCGTGAAAGCCAGAGCGGCTTATGCCAATGTGGGCCCCTTTGGCGCCTTCGTAATGTTAGTCTGGCTGTAAAAGGTCGGATCTACAACGCATCGGTGAGGGCAGTTCTGCTCTATTTGTGAAACCTGGCCTCTCCGAGTTGAGGACGTTAGACGACTCTCTGTGTTCGATCATCGCTGTCTCCGAAGGATTGCTGACATCCAGTTGCAACACCATGTTAGTAATGCAGAGGTTCGACATCGTGTGTTCGGGCACAGAGATGATAATGCAATTGATGTCACCATCTTGAAACACCGACTTCGGTGGTTTGGACATGTTCTCCGAATGTCGTCCCAGAGAATTCCACGTCGTGCATTATTTGCCAACGCTGGGACTGGTTGGAAAAAGCGGAGAGGTGGTCAGTGTATGACGTGGTGTCGTGGTATGAAAGAAAGCTTCAAAGGACTGGCTTCTGTCGGTCTTTCACGATTTCCTGGTTGGGGTCCGAGAGATGTTGCAACACAGTGGCTAGAGACGTTACCAGATATGGCTCAGAATAGAAGCTATTAGCGATCCTGCTGTAACCTTCTTTTACTTTCTTCATAAAAAGTGGTGTCTTTCTTAACTGAAAGATTTCTTCTGATTGTACCTTTCCGTTTCCCTCGTTATTACTATTGTTATTATAATATTATTATAACACTACCTTACACTAATCTGTTCGTTATTGTTCTTTTTTTACGCTCCTTACCTTCTTTTTTACTGTTCGAATTCTGATTGTTTTGTGTGGCGCATATATATTTGGTGCCCTCTTGTACCAATATTTATATGCAAATAAATGAATAATTATAATAATTAAAGTAATTTGGGACACGCAATAAGTTAGTGGTTCAGGTATTTATTTATATTTATTTGAACATAAACATTGTTACGAGAGGCCACCAAATGCACACGTGCCACACAATAACAATGACGCCAGTAGCAGTTATTATTGGTATTTGTGAGGGCTGTGATGCTACCCAGGTTCCCAGATCGAAGCAGGTAGTTTTCTTAGGCGACCACACTCGGAGCCTTCAACCTAAAGGTCTGATCCACATGGCAATGGAGCAACGTCGGGAGATGCAGTTCCATGGTAGCCGGTGACCAACAATTGGTTCATACGCCGTTTGTTCCTTCAGGATCCTGGAGCCTTTGTGCACCATTGGTTCGGAATCAGGGTTTTCCAACTCCCCTAGGTGAACCCTCTGTTTCCACTAACTCGGTTAAAGCACCAGACATTTGCTTTTCGTCCTCTCGATTATGTAAACAACACCCTTGCCACGAGAAGGCAGTGAGTAAGACTTCCATGACAGTGGCTTTATACGCGTAGCCATATGAGAGCATTTCGAGAGGGAGAGCGAACTCTCCTCTCCCTCGGCTGTACCAATGCATTTGGGTATATTGGTTCAGATAATTGGTGTTCTACCAGTAAGTCCTAGGTGAAAGCCCCTGATTGTATACGTTAGTTTGAACAGCCACGTGGTATCAGTTATCCTCAAATGGTGTGGTGGTTGAAACTGGGTGCCCATACTTATTAGACGGGTCACATGAGTCAATATTTAACTTAAGTGAAGTTACATTTTAGTTTGTAAGTTGTTTGTATCAAATGATGGCTATATTTATTACTCAAGATAGCTAAACTAATAAAAGATTTTACTTCTTTTATAGAGGACCTCAGCTGAATAGAAACTATGGAAATGATGCCACTTTTGTCGCAACTCCCCTGGATTCACATACTCAAGTCAGTTACGGATCTGCTAACAGGCGTCCACTAATTAATAAATCAGGTGGGTAATTGAGATCTATATGACTTCATGATATTAAATAGATTGATGTCAGGATAAAAAAGTGCAAGCTTTTAGAACCAGACATAATGTAAATCTCACAGACTGTTTAGAATCACTATTAATTACACACAAAATTGTTTTAGGTCTATGATTGTCATTCAGTGTATTTTTACCCAGTTTACTTTGTCACACAAATGGTTGTAATATCACAACTCATTAGTGTGATTGCCTAACTCCTTTATTAGGTGAGTCTAGAACTCAAGTAACCTTCTTTAGTCTATATAATTGTAGCATTTCCAATTGTCAGAATATATATGTTCACCAAATAAGAACTCTCGTCTAAATTTGAACGAATAGTTTCACAATATTTGGGTGCCGAGTTAATCTGAGTCATTAAAGAGGACGAATATATATTTGTAGAATCTCAGCGAATGAATTCTAAGTAAATCCAACGTTTCTCCTGGCAATCTGGTCCAAGCTTTTTCAAGGAAAATATAATTAAACAACAAAATTATCGAATATAATTAGGTACATAGTTCTCTGGTTTACTGTATACTGAATAAGTTATCCAATCAACGTTAACAATGTTAAAGTATGTATTTACATTAGTGTGTAAGAGATATGTAGTGTGAAACGAAAAGTGTTAACATAACAAACTGTGTGTATACGTAAGTGATGTGAGAAGAAATTTCATTCAACTATATATTGTCTTCGGTTTGTGTATATTCAGAAAATATATCATTTTATATATGAAATGAATCAAAATGTCACAGCATGCATTAAATGAAGATAAATAAACAAGATAAAAGACCGAATTTAAAGAGGAATGTATTTGTAATTGAAAGTTAGTGTTATTTTAATGTTCCAGTCAATTGTTTAACATATTCAGATAAGATAACTGATTTGAAACTGTTGATTAGTTAATATGATAAAGACTGATCAAATGGAATAAGTTCAGGTTTACTTATTAATTATTAGTTGCCATGGGACAGCTAGTTGTATTCCATCTCTCCTATTAATACTGTTTGAATTAGCCCATATGTGTAGGGCTTCGGCTGTTAGTCGTTCTTTGTAAGAATTAAATCCTTTTTGAATGATTCTTGCGCCATTGAAATCAACTGTATGACCCGATTCAATCGAGGGTAATGCTATCGCTGATTTGTTCTCAAGCTTTTTTACATCATCTGAGGATTTAGGAATGTGCTTTAAGCACGGTTTGTGTCCCTTCACCCTTACATTCAGTTGACTTGATGTTTCACCTACATACGTTGCATTATAGTCATTACATTTGATTTCATAAACACAATTCTGTTGTTCATTCTTGTGTATTGGATCTTTGATTCTTACTAGTTTTGATTTTAGAGTATTGTTTGTTCGAAAGAATACTCTTATATTTTGAAGAGTTAGAATCCTTCTGATCTCTTCTGAAATACCTTTACGGTATGGGATTACAATTGTGTTAATCCATTCTTTATGCTTGACTCTTTTTTTAATAATATCATTTTGTTATTCATTCTTAATTATTCTTTTAATAAAACCCTTCGGATAATTATTCATCATTAGCATGGATACAATTAAATTCATTTCCATTTTTACATCATTTGGTTCAGTGACAAGTTTTTTTTACTCTGGTGATCAAATTTTTGACTACTGTCACTTTGGTAGAGTGTGGATGCGCAGACTTAAAATCTAGAAATTTCCCTGAATATGTCGGCTTCCGGAAAATACTAATTTTTAAAAAATCATTATACTTCCTTTCAACCAAGTAGTCTAGAAAAGGTAATTTGTGTTCAGGAGATTCCAACTCTTTAGTGAACTCGATTTTGTCATCGATGCTGTTGACACGTTGAAATAGTTCGTCTAATACATCTCGTTTTATAATGACAAAGGTGTCATCTTAACCAAATTTTCGGTGGAATGGAACACATTGAGATAGCACTTGTTTCTAGTTAATGCTCATTGTTCACCAATGTTACTGTTAATAAAGCTTTAGATATTGTATTTAACCTCCTAGATTCTGACACTGAACTTAAACAACGTTGTCCTCTAGAACCCTGTCATTATTCATGCATGAATAAGTTAGCAAAAATTAGAGAAACCGGTGATCCCATAGATACACCTTCTGTTTGTCTGTACAGTTCTCCTCGAAAACTGAAAACAGTTGAATGTAAGCAAACATCCAATGTCTGAGGGTTCTAGAGGACAACGTTGTTTAAGTTTGGTTAAGATACGTAGATGACACCTTTGTCATTATAAAACGAGATGTATTAGACGAACTATTTCAACGTGTCAACAGCATCGATGACAAAATCGAGTTCACTAAAGAGTTGGAATCTCCTGAACACAAATTACCTTTTCTAGACTACTTGGTTGAAAGGAAGTATAATGATTTTTTAAAAATTAGTATTTTCCGGAAGCCGACATATTCAGGGAAATTTCTAGATTTTAAGTCTGCGCATCCACACTCTACCAAAGTGACAGTAGTCAAAAATTTGATCACCAGAGTAAAAAAAACTTGTCACTGAACCAAATGATGTAAAAATGGAAATGAATTTAATTGTATCCATGCTAATGATGAATAATTATCCGAAGGGTTTTATTAAAAGAATAATTAAGAATGAATAACAAAATGATATTATTAAAAAAAGAGTCAAGCATAAAGAATGGATTAACACAATTGTAATCCCATACCGTAAAGGTATTTCAGAAGAGATCAGAAGGATTCTAACTCTTCAAAATATAAGAGTATTCTTTCGAACAAACAATACTCTAAAATCAAAACTAGTAAGAATCAAAGATCCAATACACAAGAATGAACAACAGAATTGTGTTTATGAAATCAAATGTAATGACTATAATGCAACGTATGTAGGTGAAACATCAAGTCAACTGAATGTAAGGGTGAAGGGACACAAACCGTGCTTAAAGCACATTCCTAAATCCTCAGATGATGTAAAAAAGCTTGAGAACAAATCAGCGATAGCATTACCCTCGATTGAATCGGGTCATACAGTTGATTTCAATGGCGCAAGAATCATTCAAAAAGGATTTAATTCTTACAAAGAACGACTAACAGCCGAAGCCCTACACATATGGGCTAATTCAAACAGTATTAATAGGAGAGATGGAATACAACTAGCTGTCCCATGGCAACTAATAATTAATAAGTAAACCTGAACTTATTCCATTTGATCAGTCTTTATCATATTAACTAATCAACAGTTTCAAATCAGTTATCTTATCTGAATATGTTAAACAATTGACTGGAACATTAAAATAACACTAACTTTCAATTACAAATACATTCCTCTTTAAATTCGGTCTTTTATCTTGTTTATTTATCTTCATTTAATGCATGCTGTGACATTTTGATTCATTTCATATATAAAATGATATATTTTCTGAATATACACAAACCGAAGACAATATATAGTTGAATGAAATTTCTTCTCACATCACTTACGTATACACACAGTTTGTTATGTTAACACTTTTCGTTTCACACTACATATCTCTTACACACTAATGTAAATACATACTTTAACATTGTTAACGTTGATTGGATAACTTATTCAGTATACAGTAAACCAGAGAACTATGTACCTAATTATATTCGATAATTTTGTTGTTTAATTATATTTTCCTTGAAAAAGCTTGGACCAGATTGCCAGGAGAAACGTTGGATTTACTTAGAATTCATTCGCTGAGATTCTACAAATATATATTCGTCCTCTTTAATGATATATGTTCACTACCTAGGAAATACGCATTTATGTGTTTTTTGATTTGTGCTTCAGTACTATTTGATGCCCCAAGAATTCGTAAAACATTTTCGACTTAAGTAGTTTTACATATCAACGTTTTTCTAAACGGAATTGATTCGTCGGTCTAATTCCAACTTTTACAAAACAAATCAATTTTAAAGAAAAGCATGTGAACATGTTAACTGACAATTTCAAGTTTTTCTTTCATGGGTTAAATATTCGGCAACGTTTAAAAATACACCAGCGTAGATGCAAAGTACTGTATTATAAACCAACTTTGTCGTCTGTTTTACCACCCAGTCTTAACATAAATCGGTTCTCACTGTGGAAGCGGCTTTAAGTTCATGCGTAATACTTGTCCAAGTCATAGAATTTAGTGTCCTAATATGATAACATTTATTACAATGCTTTTCACTATCCTCAAACACGTTCATTTCAGTATTTTCATGCACACAATTACCACAAATTAGTGGCGGCTTTCCAAAACCAGTGATAATCGAGTTTAGTTAGTCATTTGGTTCTCTTCATTTCTATGACAGTCGGAACACACTACATACGAATGGCGGTTGGTAACTAAATCCCTGTGTGATACTACCCAATATCAGAGGATGTCTTCTATATACTAAAGCTTGGGCACTTCAATTAGTAGATCTTCATCGCCGTTACGTACTCCAACTCCTTCCCAGAAAGATGAAAAGTGTGGTGATTCTGGGCAAGCCTCCCTACCAGTTTAGGACTGTAAAAAGTGGTAGATATATAATATCACTTCACTTGAACTGTTTTTTAGGGCTTTGAATTTGGTAATATATCCAAGTCTATCAAAGTGATTGTAATTATTCGTATGCTCCGCTGCTCACGATTTCCTTTTAAGAACAAACGATTGACTTTTACAATAAGTAACCAGTGACTACTGCTCTTTGTGTTTTTTTATAAACAGTCAACTTTTTAAAACATATTGGCTCTTGTTAAATTATGTTGTGAAGATATTACCATGCTTAAAAACATTATTACAAAGAGTTGAGGTCATTCTTTTTCATTATATCATCCAATTTTGTCAAATATATCTTTGCGATTACTGAAGGTGTTTGTCGGAACTTTTCACCATTTTTTCTGTTTTCTTTTTCTTGAGGTCTTGAGATTCATGTGGAATTTTCACGTGAATCTTTAACCCTAACCATATGGTCAGGTGACCCGATTTCTGGTTTCAAGGTAGATTTACAGAATTACTCTGGTAGT